CCGAAACCCGAAACCCGAAATCCGAAAACCCGAAACCCGAAAACCCGAAACCCGAAAACCCGAAAACCCGAAACCCGAAAACCCGAAAACCCGAAACCCGAAAACCCGAAAACCCGAAAACCCGAAAACCCGAAACCCGAAACCCGAAAACCCGAAAACCCGAAAACCCGAAAACCCGAAAACCCGAAAACCCGAAAACCCGAAAACCCGAAAACCCGAAAACCCGAAAACCCGAAAACCCGAAAACCAAAACCCGAAACCTGAAACCCGAAACCCGAAACCCGAAACCCGAAACCCGAAAATCATCCCTCCATTTCTGCCATTGCACAAACATAAAAAGTTTAATTTTTTTTTTTCTCTTATTGTCTTATGATTTTTCCACACTTTTTGATCTGTTTGTTTCTTCATGGTGACTTATGCTTTTTCCACACTTTTTGATCAATTAATTTAATTGAGTAATTGAATACCAGTAGGGTGCGATCAAGATGTTGGAATATAGTGGTCGACGAGGGGAAATACGGTGGAGCGATCAGACGCTTCTACCTATGCGTCCCATCAAGCAATTCTCCGGCACCGTCTCTTGCTGGTAAAAAGAGGACTGACTACTGATATGATTTTTGCTTTTTATTTAAATTGTTTGAACTTCAATAAATGGTTTATGTATCAGCAGTATAATCACGTGAGTCATATAGGTATTGTGATTTCAAGTTTTCGGCCCTCAATGAACCCTTGTTTCGTTTCGGTCGGCGACACTCTAGGTTGTGCTTCTGTTTTTTTTTCTTTTCCCCTTTCATTGTGATTTTGGGCTACTGGGAATATAGTATCTTCTCCTTGTCCCTTGCAGGTCCTTGAGGGCATGGTTCTCCATAGGAGTCGTATTTAGTTTGGCTGCTTTACTTGGAGTCACACTAGTCAGTGGCTGATCTTCAATGTTGTCTATTTTTTTTTCCCTGAACTAAGAGAATTGTTTACGATGGCTTTTACCCTTAGTCTTACATTGTTCTTTGTTTTCATTTATTTTTTATTTTCAGATTATTCTATGTGAATTGGTCCGAACAACACTTGTATGTGCCGGAAATACCTCGACGGGTAACTCCTTGTTTGGGCTTGCCTCTGTGGTTAGTAATAAATCATTTGCCCTACTCCGCTCTTAGGTAGATGTTTGAATTTCATCTACCGAGAAGTCAAGTTATGTGAAACTGAAGTGTCTTGATTTTAACATTTCAATGTCACGGAGTTATTTATATAAACAGAAAAAAGGTCACAACTGTTATATTTGGTTTATCTCTAAATTGCACGTATTTCTATCAGTCTATGTATTACCGATAAACAGTGAGATGTGTAGAACCTATGGTAACTTTATTTGTTATATTATTCTTTGTAATTTGAATGAGTATTAGCTAGTTAAGAAGTACTTTAGAATATTTGATCATTTAGCATTTGTTGTTTCCACATTTTATTGCTTTTTGAAAAACTCAAGTGGGTCAGTGGATGTACTCACGAATCATCCTTTTGTTTGCCAATACTTTCATTGTTGCATTCGTACTTACTCTTTATGCAGATTGGCGGGTTGCACATTTCACTTCCCAATATGGTATATTTGTGCTTATCTTCTGTCATATGCGTATTTGTTCATGAGCTTGGGCATGCTCTTGCAGCAGCAAGGTAAGATTCATCTCCTTTCGTTCTAAAATAGCATGTCCTTTAGTTGTCATTCCCCTATGTAGTGCCTACATGTAGTTCTAAAATCCTTATGTCCTCATTATTAACTCTCAATTGATGATAACATGGTCTCAAGGTATTTTTTATTTTTTATTTTATTAGAATACAATTTACTTATTTAATTTATTAAAATGTTACTCTACCCCTTAATCAAAACTACCAACATTCTCAATACAATATTTCATTTCTTATTATTAAATAAAAAAAAATCACGGTAATCAATTTTATACCGCCTGATTTAATATAGGATTAGTTACAAATTACGATCATTAAACCCTCTACTAGTAGTGCTAGCCTCAAAACTACGAAAGATTATTAATCAGTTGAAAATTGTCAACATTTTTTCTATAGCACTTTGATGGTGCAATTATGATCTTAGAGTGCAGCCTATGCAGCATCCGGTGTCCGCAAGTACTAACATCTTTACCAGTAAATCATGAATAAGATAAACTAGTTGGGATTGTTCCAGCCATAACCAGTTTGAAAATATTCTTTGATGAACTAAGAAAGAAACAAAAAAAATGGTGTGCAAGTTAAAGTTATGCAATCTTCACATTCATATAAAATATGATCATCTTAAGAATTGGGGAATAAGCGAGTTTGTTGGATAGAGGATCTACCTCACAATGATTGTCGCGGATGCAATTTCTTTGGTGCAGTGAGGGTGTGCACGTCGAGTATGTTGCTATCTTTTTGGCTGTGTTGTTTCCAGGAGCTTTGGTAGCTTTCAATCACTCATCATTGCAGGCATTGCCAGTGGTTGCTTCTCTCCGTATATACTGTGCCGGTATTTGGCACAATGCGGCGGTAAGTGTGAGTATTATTTATCCTCAAATGTTATGTGTAATTTACATACCAGTAGCAATGTATGCCGCCTGATGCTGGAACAGAATGGACTAATTGTTATCTTCTGCAGTTTTGTGTTGGTTGCGCCTTGGCATTAGTCCTTCTTCCCTTCATCTTCAGTCCATTCTACATACACGGTGAAAGCCTAATGGTGTAAATTTGTAGTTACATGATTTTGTTGAATTATTTCTGAATGATCCGTAGCCAAGTCATTTGTTAAAGTGAAATGACTTGCGATTCCGCCACAGGTTCTGGATGTGCCGTCTATGTCACCATTATACGGTTATCTCTCACGTCATGATGTTATATTTTCTTTGGATGGCATCCGTATTCATACTACAGAAGAGTGGAAGCAGACGATCACTATGTTGACTGAGCAGACTTACTCGCTTAGCTCTGATCAACCTAGTGTAAATTTAAATGTGGAAAATGGTTATTGTATTCATCAATCTTTGACTAAGGAGATCGCTCAAGTTCAGTTTAAAGGGAATCAAACATATTGTCCAAATGAACTCATTGCCTTTGCATCGATGACCTGTCTGGATGTGGAAAAGTATACTAACAATGCCAACCGAAACAATCATCAAAGAAGAGAAAATATTCACTGTTTGGATGCTAAGGATGTGATAAAGCTTAAAAAATGTGCCTACCCTAATTTTAAGGAGCAAGATTTAACAAATGGAAGTAGTTGTCTTTGTTCAGAGGTAATATACCTTACAATGTTACAAATATCTAAAAATCTATTGGTAATGATACTTTTATATTGTCTATGACACTTGTCGCACAGGTAGAGTCATGCTTGGCGCCTATGCAGCTACCAGGTCTAGGGTGGGTTGAGATAACATATTCAAGTTTGGAATGCCACAGTCGTAGAAGAAGTTTATTTTCTCCAGAAAAGCATTCTAGCAGTGAACAAATAAGCTGTCTTCAAACATTTGTCTATGTTGGTGATCTGATCACGATGGCAAATTCCATTCATTTGACTTCCTATCAGCCTCGTTGGACAATTTATTTCATGGCATATCTTCCAAATTTATTGGAGAAACTATTCACATATGCCTTCCATGTCTCTATGGTACTTGCTCTCTTGAACAGCCTGCCGGTAAGTCACATAACCATTTTATGTTTGACCTATTTGATAACTGGTAACTGTAGCATGCATTAGTTTTACACGTGATTTTATTACTGAGTGTGCTATTTTTTTTTTTTTATTAATGTCTTAAAAATCTTCTGTTTAGTTCTTTTATGTTACTTTTGTGAAATTGTTAAACATAATAGTTTTAGTATCTTATTGTCGCAATAGGAATCTCCTAAATTTGGATGCAATTCCGAAGTTTCAGAACTTTTTGGCATTTGTCAAACAAGGGTTGTTGGGTTGATCATAGTTTAATTTTACAGTGTCAGTCAATGGAGCCCACCAATTTCATGAACATAGGTGAAATAAGGTTTAATCTAGTGATGTGACATTTTTTTTAATGCATCAGATGGTCATATTGCATTTGTTGTGTGATAAAGTTATTGTGCATACACATTCAAGACTTCCCTGCAGCAAATAGTCCTTGAAAAAATAATAGTCCTCTGAAAAGTTAATGTATGAAAAATATACTAGTAACAATTTGACTCATTAGGTGGCAGCATGCTTCTTCAGTTCTTCTACCATCCAATGCTCCTGTTTTATGCAACTGGGAAAGGGATTGGAAAAATTATCGCTATTCCACTTGTTTTTCTAAGATTGATATCAAACATGTTAAAACATATCAGTCTATGTTGGAATTGTGTTTCTGAGGAATTTGCCTTTTGCTCATAATGCTCGGTATGTCTCTTTGTCGGACTCTGTAATTGTTTTCATATGTATCTCTTGAGTAGGAAGTTAAGGCTCTGCTGAAAATTACAGTTTAGCTTTGCTTTGGGATCTTAATGTGTTCAAGGTTGTCATTATCAAGTAGAGATACTGTTGAAAGCCATTGATTTGCGATTATTTGAATATCTTTTTATATAATCACCAGGTGTTTTTTCTTGACGGTGAATACATTTTAGAAGCGACTCTACACTGCTTCGGTTCATTGAACTCCAGGATGAGGCAATCAGTTCGGCGGTGTTGCCTGCTTGTAGGGACCTCTTTTTCTGCCTGTTTTATCTTGCAGACAATCTTCGTCTCTGTAAGCTAATGTCATTTCATCATCGTTCTTCATTTAATTTATATGTCGGTATGTGCTCTGAGTTTTGTAGTTGTTTACTGGTAGACGTGGTAGTTTTTCCCGATGTCAAATTAAAACCGATTGATGGAATTTACCAGTTTAGCAAATAGGTTTGATGAATGTCAGTAATTGAGGGAGGGATTTCATTCAGATATATTTTTGGGTTGAATTCGAAGTTATCATTTTTTTCTTTTTAAAATCCATATCAAATAACGTCAATTTACTTTTTACTAGTAACATAAATTATGATATCAAACTAGAGAAATGTTGTATAACAATATTAGAAATAAAGATAAAAATCATTTTAAAAAGATATGAAAAACAAATAGTAGTTTTTGAAGGTTTATGCTGGTTGAAAATGCCAAGGATACGAGGATAACAGAAGAAGTGGGGGCATCTCCTGGGCAGTAGTCACATGGAGTTGTCTCAACCTGCAGATGCACAATATCTTTAACTATTTGGATTAGGATTTTAGGTCAAGTTGGTTGCCGGTTCTTAGGAAATTAGGTCAAGATTTTAGACATTTGATGAAATCTTGTGACATTTTAAGGTTGAGACAACAGCAGCAGTCTTAGGAACATGCGTTTGCTCACCCAAAACAAGAAACACCGCCCC